AAATCGGTGAAATAAACAACACCTTAAATCTAATCAAAATTACATCAAAAAGAACAAATTGAAAAATTTTAAAAGTATGCCTTTAATTTTGAGAAAAATTAGGGTGTGTTTTTTTTCCATAATTTGAATTAAGATGATTGGAATAAAGATCTTAATTTGAATTGAAAGTATATACACATTTAAATTAAGGTTTAAATTGAGAATTTATTTAAGTTTTTGTTTAGTTATACTAAAATTTGAGTTGTAAATAGTAAAAGATAAAGGAGATGTAATTATTTTTGTTTGGAATTTATTATTTAAGTAAGACAAAATAATATTTTAATTGTAGCATTTAACTTGAGTTGAAGGGTGGGAGTTGAACTTGAAAACGTAACTGCTGACTTGTTAATACTCGATTCTTCATTTGAGTCATGGGGGACTGAACGTAAAGTTAAGTTGGAGTTTGCACTCGAGTTGGCTTCACTCAAGTGAAGTGAAGCAAATGATCAGCCTCTTAGGAGACGCTTGGTTCATGGATTAGAATCATGAGATTAGAACTATTTTCGATTTACGTGTATTTTTTGTGAGAGAAAATACTGTAGTGAACCATGAACCATGATTCGAATCAGGGTACGAATCGTCTTACCAAACGTCACATGAACTCACCTTTTAAATGCATTATTTTAAAATTTTTACTATTTATTCTTGATTAATAGTTAATTAAAGATATTAATCAAGTGTAAAAGAAAAAAATTCAACACTCATACATTCAAAGGGATATTTTCCACTTTATTCCTTTAATTTTACTTAAATATAATTTTTGCTCTTGAGCTTTTTAAAATCTAAAAACTATTCTTTGTGTTTTTTAAACTAGACAAAAAAATATCCCTTATTTTAACTTTTATGGTTTACTTTTTTAAAAAATGGTTAAATTATCCTTGAATATTTTATATACTATTTAAATTTAAAAAAAAATTTTACAGCATCAATTTGAACAAGTCTTTTTTCTTCTTTTTTTCATTTTAAGAAGAAAATGAAATCTTAAAAAAAAAAAATTCAAATTAGTAGAAATGTGCTATTCTAACAAGTTGGTTTGTTAGGCTCTATATTGAACAGTTATTTTTTAAAGATTTCAAAATTTAATGTATAGTAAACCAAATTTTTAGAATAGCCCAGTCCTACTAACTTGACAAAAAAATTTACATTTTTTTTTTGAGATTTCACTTTCTTCATAAAATAGAAAAAAAAAGAAAAAAAAATCTTGTTCATATTTAGTGTTTTAAATTTCACACATTGCTGAATGACTAAATCTAAGATGATAAAAAAAAAAACAAAATCTAAGAGGAGTATTTAGAAGTTAGTAGCCCAGCACAAATTTGAACAATATCTTAAGACAATTTGGTCATTTTAAAAAATTAAACAAAAAGTTAAAATAATAGATATTTATGTCTGGTTTGAAAAACGTAAGTTATAGTTTTTGAATTTTAAAAAACTCAAGGTAGAAATTATATTCAAATAAAATTAAATGGATATTTTATGGCTTTTCTCTAAAAAATTATACAAAATTGAGATAATCTCTGTTAGAGATAGTTTGTTAGAGTGTTGTACACGTGTCAATTAGACATTGGCTAGTATTGTAATTAGTTAGAGCTTAGTTGAGTTATTTAAGCCGTTTACTGTACAGATTATTGTGTAATGAAGAATACATTCTTTTCTTCAGATATTGTCGTTTCCTCCTTTTCTTGAATCTTGATATGGTATCAGAGCCTTCTGATTCTGGCGAGAGTGGTTCTTTGTCCGCCAAGGCAGAACCTTTGAATTCCTCTATTTGTTTCAATCTTGTTTCCTTCAGTCACCCAATTTCAGTTCGGCTTGATCATTCTAATTTTCTTCCGTGGAGAAAGTTGGCTGTTGCTACGATTCGAGGGCACAAGTTGCTGGATTTCATCTCCGATTCAAATTCTTCACCGATGAAGTTTCTCAGTGACGCGGATGAAGTCGCAGGATGAATTAATCAAGATTTCTTGAACTAGGAGTAGCAAGATCAGCTGTTGGTGTCCTGGCTTCTTTCTTCCATGACCGAGATCGTTCTTTCTAGGGTTGTCAATTGCGAGACGTCAGTGCAGGTCTGGTACACTCTGAATCTCTACTATGTTGCTCAGATTCGTGCCAAAATTTCTCAATATAAGACTCAACTCAAAAACATCAAGAAAACTTCTTTGACAATGAATGATTATTTGCTGCAAATTCGTCATTGTGTGAGTATGCTGAATCTTGTTGGAAATCCTGTATCCTCTAAGGAACACCTTGAAGCAATTTTTGAAGGATTATCCTCTGAATATGATACGTTTGTTCTCACTGTGGAAGCTCGGAATGATACTTTTACGGTTGAAGAAATTGAGTCTCTTCTTCTTTCACAAGAGGCGCGGATTGAGAAGAATCATAAATCCCTTGATTCGGCTCAAGCCAATTTGGCTTCTTCTCATTCAAATCAAGGGAACAAGAAAAGGTTCAATTCTAGTTTTTCCCCTCAATTTGGGAACAATTCTGGTCTTTCCTCACAATTTGGGAATCATTTTTCCCGTGGGAATTTTCAGTCTCAATCTTTTGGTCATTTTCCATCTCGAGGTGGGGGCAATTCCAGTGGTGGTCGAGGTCGTAACAGTGGAGGTGGTCGTGGTTCTTAGCCCTCTAACAGACCACAGTGTCAGCTTTGTAGTCGTGTTCGTCATGTTGTCATTAATTGCTATTACCGTTTTGATCATTCTTTTCAAGGGCCCTCTCATTTCCAGAATAGACAGAGACCTTTTCCGAGTCCTGTTGCTAATGTTGCCACCCCTTCCAACCCATTTGTGGACTCTAATTCTGTTCAAGCTTTCCTTGCCACTCCAGACACTGTTGCAGATCCAAGTTGGTATCCTAACTCAGGAGCTTCCAGCCATGTCACTCTGAATACAGACAACCTGGTAGAGATGACAGATTATTTTGGATTTGAACAAATGTTGGTAATGGTAAGGGTCTTGCTATTAGTCACGTTGGTCAGTCTAGTTTTGCCTTTCCCTATGCATCAAAAATTCTTTCTTTAAAAAATCTTTTACATGTTCCTGAAATTAAAAAAAATCTCCTTAGTGTATCTAAGTTTGCTCTTGATAACAATGTCTTTTTTGAATTTCATTCTCACAAGTGTTTTGTTAAGGATCAGGTTACCAAAACTATGCTTTTGGAGGGGAGCCTTAAGAATGTACTGTATGTGTTTGGTCAAGATCAAATTAACCTTCCTCAACAGCAGCTGCCTCATCCCATTCGATTTCCTGTTTCTCCTGTACATAATTCAATTTCTCATGCACATGTTCCCATTTCTGTTAATAACACAACAGCCAATATTACTGTCCATCCTTCTTGTCCAGTTTTTGAGTTGTGGCATAATCGTTTAGGCCATCCTTCGGCCAAAATTGTAACCACAGTTCTGAAAAATTGTAACATTTCTCTTAGCAATAAAAGCCCTACTTCCATTTGTGCTGCGTGTTGCCTTGGTAAAATTCATAAGTCTCCTTTTCCATTGTCTACTACCTATTTTAATGCTCCTTTACAATTGGTTCACACTGATTTATGGGGCATGGCACCTGTGCAATCCTCTAGTGGCTATAGGTACTATATAAGTTTCATTGATGCCTTCTCTAGATTTACTTGGATCTACATGCTTAGAAGCAAGTCGGATGCATTCCAAACCTTCATTCATTTCAAAAACCAGGTTAAATTGCAATTAGGTTTCAAGATTAAGACCATTCAATCTGATTGGGGCGGTGAGTATAGGGCTTTCACTGATTTCCTTTTGTCTCATGGTATTGTTCATCGTGTCTCTTATCCACATGTGCATGGGCAAAATGGTGTTGCTGAACGAAAACATCGTCATATTGTGGAAAATGGTTTAACCTTACTTGCTAAGTCTTCTTTACCTTTAAAATACTGGGATGAAGCCTTTCGTACCGTTGTTTATCTTTATAATAGGCTTCCTAATTCTATTTTACAGTTCAAAACCCCTCTTGAAGTGCTATTTCATACTCAGCCTGAATTCTCCCAACTAAAAGTGTTTGGTTGTGTCTGTTATCCTTATCTTCGGCCTTACAATAAGCATAAACTTAATTTCCGATCTGCTGAGTGTACATTTCTTGGTTATAGTCTAAATCAAAAAGGGTACAAGTGTCTTGATAAGTCTGGCAGGATCTTTGTTTGCCGAGATGTCATCTTTGATGAAGGAGTTTTTCCTTTTTCCACTTCTAAGGTAACTTCTACTCCTTCTGTTTCTTCCTCTTCCCTGCCTCCAGTCTCTCCGATACTCCTGTTATTCCAGTAATTTCTCCTCTCCATTCTCTTCCTCTGTCTCCTGCCCATCATGCGTCCTCATCTCCTCATGGTTCACTACCATCACATTCAACAGCTCTCTGTCTAGTGACTGATCAGGGTGTCTCTAGTAATGCACCTATTACTATGACTAATGTTCCTTGTGCAGGTTCTATTGATCCCTCTATGCTTACACCAATGCCACACCAGCCGTCTTAACAAGGTCCACAAGTGATTAATTCTCACCCTATGAGTACACGCTCAAAGAAGGGTATTTTCAAGCCCAAAGTGTATATGGCTGCACAGAACCGACCTCTGTTCATGATGCTTTAGCTCAAGAACAGTGGCGAGTTGCTATGAATGATGAGTTTTTGGCTCTCATACGGAATGGTACTTGGTCCCTTGTTTCTCTGCCTGCAGGACGAAAACCAATTGGTTGTAAGTGGGTTTTTAAAGTCAAAGAAACTCCTGATGGCACACTTAATAAGTATAAGGCCCGTCTAGTGGCAAATGGGTTTAATCAAGTTGCTGGATTTGACTTCAATGAGACTTTCAGTCCAGTTGTGAAGCCGACTACAATTAGAGTGGTTCTTACCATTGCCTTAGCAAGAGGTTAGTGTATTAGACAGTTGGACATAAACAATGCTTTTCTCAATGGAGATTTACTAGAAGAAGTGTACATGACTCAACCTCAGGGTTTTGAAGATCCAAAGCATCCTCAATTTGTTTGCAGACTTCACAAGTCCCTCTATGGCCTGAAACAGGCACCTAGAGCCTGGTTTGACAAGCTGAAAAATGCTTTGTTTGCACAGGGGTTCACATCCTCCAAGTCCGACCAATCCCTGTTTATCAGGTTTAGTTCTCAACATGTCACTTTTATACTTGTGTATGTTGATGATATTTTGATAACTGGGAGTGATGAGAAGGAGGTTCAACAGCTAATCACACTGCTAAATGATTGCTTTACGTTGAAGGATATGGGAGAAGTGAACTTTTTCTTAGGAATTCATGTGACTCATACGGCAGGTGGTATGCATCTGTCTCAGAAAAAGTATGTCACTGATTTATTGTGTAAAGCCAAAATGCAAGATGCTAAGCCAATTGGAGCTCCTATGACTACTGGTTTCAAACTTTCAGCTTTTGGAAGTGATGAAGTGGAAAGCCCTCAGTTGTATAGAAGTATTGTTGGAGCCCTTCAATATGTCACTATAACTCGGCCTGAGTTATCCTACTCTGTCAACAGAGTCTGCCAGTTCATGCACAAGCCGCTTGAGACACATTGGCGTGCTGTGAAGCGCATTCTTCGATACTTGAGAGGCACACTTGATTTTGGTCTTCACCTTCAGAAATCTACTCAACTGAATTTGCTAGGTTTTTGTGATGCAGATTGGGCATCAGACCCGGATGATAGAAAGTCAACTTCTGGGTATTGTGTTTACTTAGGGTCCAACATTGTCTCTTGGTGTTCAAAGAAACAACACACTATTTCCAGATTAACTACTGAAGCAGAGTATAGGAGCCTAGCAAATGTAGTTGCCAAAGTTACTTGGCTCTTGTCTCTACTCAAGGAATTGAAGGTTGACATTCAGACTAGACCAGTGGTGTGGTGTGACAATCTTAGTACAGTCCAACTTGCTGCCAATCCTGTTCTACATGCAAGGACAAAACATGTGGAGCTTGATTTATATTTTGTAAGAGAGAAGGTAATACATAAAGTCATTGATGTTAAGCATGTTCCAGCTATTGATCAGGCAGCTGATGTACTTACCAAGCCAATATCAAGTTCTAAGTTTCCTGCTCTTAGACACAAACTCAAAGTTGAAAGTCTTTCAACCTTGAGTTTGAGGGGGGCTGTTAGAGATAGTTAGTTTGTTAGAGTGTTGTACACGTGTCAATTAGACATTGGCTAGTATTGTAATTAGTTAGAGCTTAGTTGAGTTATTTAAGCCGTTTACTGTACAGATTATTGTGTAATGAAGAATACATTCTTTTCTTCAGATATTGTCGTTTCCTCCTTTTCTTGAATCTTGATAATCTCATACGAATCAAACATTTTTAATATAGAACCCCTTTTTTTTTGTGAAACTTTAACATATAGTTCGTAAAAATTTTTGCGACCGGAATTGTTGTTATAGCATTGGATAAGTTTTTTAACAATTGGTCTATGATTATAAACAATTATGTGACGTAACTTTAAATTTATTACATGGACATTCAAAAATTAAATAGTTAAAAAATTAATCCAGCTAAAATAATAGATTCTATTGAAAGATAAAATGAATATTTGTACCAGAAAAGTTCCCATAATTTATAGACTAGTTTGGTAATGCTTTTCAACCAGCCAAAAATACTATTTTAACAAGTTTGGTCCGATTTTGTATTTGGTAAAAAACTAAAAAAGCAATTATGACAAAATTTTCTTCACTCAGAAAGCAGAAATTAAAAGCTGGCATGAATCAACTTCTGCTTTTAAATTGTGCGGGCAGCAACACTTACTTTTTAATGAATGTTTTCATATACTTAGAATACCATTTTTTATATTTTATAATACCCAGAATATCCTTGTATACATATTACTTCTCTATATTTTTTTTCCCGAAAGAACCGTGTTAAGATATATATAAACATATTTTATAAGCGTGACTCTTGTGTTTTTCCTTTGCTGAGGGTAGAATAAAAACTTTTTAAAAAATGTTATTTACGCCTGTACTATTCTACTCCTACCTTTAAAATCTCATCCCATTCTTTTTTTTTTTCTTTTTTTCTTTTTCCATATGTTATTTTCTTTCATTCTTTTTTCCCCACTATTGTCCTATGTTCTTATTTATTATTTTTTAAATGTCTATGTTCTTATAGTTTTTAACACGTGCAGGTGACGAAGTTTAACTAGAGAATATTACTTCTTAAACAATTATTTATATTAACAGTAAACTAAAAAAAATAAAATTGTTGATAATAATAATAAAATAAAAAAAATATATACACATACATTATGTTAACATTCTCCTACGTTGTCTATTTTGGTAATTAAATAGAAACAGTAAAATCAGTCTTATAGTTTATCAAACATCATGATACTACTTTTAGAACTAACAGCATTTTAAAAATTATAGTTTACCAAACACTCAGTTACTTTACAGAACAGATTATTTTTGTTTCAACACAGCTAAAAGTAATTATTTTAAAATCTACAAGATTACCAAACTGACCCTAAATCTGCTCAGTGTTTTTATGGTAGGTGCTTTATTGGATTCAATAGAATCTGATTGAAATTACATAAAAATAAAAAAAATATACAAAAAAAGATAATATCATACAAATAATATAATTTAAAATAGAACTTTATCAATAGGATATTTATTTAAAATCTTTTTTTTCCTTGCCAAACTATAACATAGTTTGTGAAAATTTTTATAGCATCCACTGTTATTTGAGCTGTTAGATTTTTAACGATTTGACACATAATTAGAAACAATTATGTGACGCTTTTTGCATATCTATAACATGGATACTAAAAAATTAATCATTAAAAAATTAACTTCTAAAATAACAGTTTCTACTGATAGATGGAAATAATTTTTACGATAAAATTTTTCATAATTATTTAATATGGGCTCTAGTCTATTTAATTATTAATTTGTAACTTGTGACCATTAATATTACAAACTACTTGTAGATGTTTCCTAGCTCAACGTTGAGTGAGTAACATAAAATTTTTCACGCTCAAGTGTTTTGGTTATTAAATTAAAGTAAATTACGCAATATTGATTATTTACCATTTTTTTATACGTGTTCCCTAAATATGTTACGATTGATATTTTGATCGACATTATTCAAAATTAAAATCCGAACAGTTATATTAATGTTGATATTTTAATTCTTTTAAACATTTTTATTGAGAAAATGATATTTCCTGATCATTATAGTAAACATGATTTAAGACACTTGCTTTGGTTTTCTTATTATGATACGTCATAGGTTCAATATCTAGACTAGAGTGTAATTTAGTAATAATTCTACATCTGATTCTATTATAGGATGCCGAGTTTAAATTTTCTTACCCCTAAGTTTAAAAACAAACAAACAAAAATCAAGACTGGAGGTAATAAACTCTATCCAGTTTTTTGAATAATGAATATTTTCGTTGTCCTTTAAACAATTTTAAATGGAAGGTAATAGTGATCATAAGTTGTCTACTGAAGTTTTTATGTAATGTTACAAATAAATTATTAATTTATAGTAAAAACATAAGTGTTCGTAAATAAATTCACCAATAAATGAATTATCGCATCATTTAATGTTAAAAAAAAAAGAAAACTATTATTAGTTTTTCGAAAATAATTTGGTCAATATGTCCCTTAGATCTTGTTAAATGCCTTCACATTCACGTAAAGACTAAATATGATATAAGCTGCCATGGAAGCTCCATATTTTGGAGAAGTCAAAAAAAAAAAAAAACGCGCATATTTCTTGAGTTTACACGTTATAATCGTGTTGTCTGGTATTATGTTCAAATGTCTACACACACCTAGGCTACTAGCTTTGGGCTTTTTTTTTTTTTTTTTTGGGGGTTAGAAAACTACTAGCTTTGATTAAGAAAAGCAAGATTGGTCCAATGATTCAAATTATAAGTTTGTAGTCTGATTGAGTTTTTCAAAATAAAAGATACTAGAAAGAGTTTATTCATTGCTCTTTTTTTCTCCCTCTCCAATTGTAAAGCGTATGAGTCCGTCCATTCACTAGTTTGTTAATCATAATAAATAATATTTGTCGTATTAAGAAAATCACGTATGATGTTTTGACAGAGTTCTGTTAGATTAATAGAATCTTTTTTGTTTGCACTCATTTAAAACTTTCATGCTCTTAGGATGTCACGAAGGTGCACCACTGGGAATCACGTGCTAGAATCTAGTGAAAACCCTATTTTAAAGTGAAAAAGGCTAAAAGGCACTACTTATATTAAACACTATTATCGATAAAAATGGGTTTAATTTATGGGTCTCAGAGATTCACTTTTTATTAGATTATGAGATTTAATATCATTGATGTCTTATAACATTATTCTTAACTTTAATTTATTTCAAATTTAAGGTTTAGTTTTGTTGGAGACATGATGGTAGAGATAAGAAAAAAGTCAAATGGATGGAATATGTGAAGGATGAAATGACGAATATCATAATTTTTCAAGTTGTTAGTATGAAAGAAAAAGAGTTAAAAATAATGAGTTATAGTTATTTGTTTAATTGTCACATTTTATTTTACTTTTTGATATTTCCTTTTTAAGGAAAAAAAATAGTATTTTTTCATTTAAATTTGACATAATCTTTTATTATTGAAAGGCTTTTTTTTGTACGAATACCCCTTCAACTTTATGTGTTTAGGAAATTAGTTCCCCAACTTTTAATTTTGACAATTTACCTCTTAAATTTTGAAATTCATTGCAATTTGGCCTAAATTAAAAACGGAGTTAAAGTTTTAAACGGTTTCTTTCACGTGAACATTTAATGAGGCTAATTTTGATCTTTTTGAATTAAATTGGTCCCCATACACACATCATGAGTGAAAATTTCTTTGAAAATGAGGGTTAACAGTTTTTTTGAGAAAATTTAAGGTTCCCCAATTTCAAAAAATTTTTGCTTATCATCTGTATATGGAGATCAATTCGATGCAAAAAAACTAAAATTGGCTTTATTAAACGTTCACGTGAAAGAAACTGTTCAAAATTTTAACTTCATTTTCAATTTGGGCCAAATTGCATCAAATTTTAAAGTTTAGGGAGTAAATTGCCAAGGCTAAAAGTTAAGGAACTAATTTGCTAAAAGTGTAAAATTGAGGGAGTGTCCATACAAAAAAGGCTTATTAAAAAGATTGGTTTATGTGGATCCATAAAGATAGGTTATCTCTCTATTTCCCCCTTTCTCATCTTCTCCCTCCGACCAAAACAAAAAATTAGACATCTCCTTCCATCTATCTCTCTCCAATCAAACACGCGTTTAAGCTATGTTTAAAACAAGAAAGAAAGAAAAATATAATGTAAACTAAGTGAGAAAATAAATCAGACTAGGGAAATAATATTATTTTTGGTGTGGATTTTCTCGTAAAGTAGTATTTTTATATTTGGAAAAATTAAAATTGAGATACTTTAAAGGATATGACATCTTTAATTCAATTTATGCCCTTATTTTTTTTCACTTAACGAAATAAACACGAGTATCAAAATTCTTGTACTAATTCCCTCACCTATCTTTTTCTTTATAATTTTCCTCCTACCAAACAAGTTTAAGGGTCCGTTTAGTGTCACGTCTCATAACATGGGTTAGTCACGTAGAGGCTCGTTTAGAAGTTACACATAACTAAGAAAGTAATTAAACATTTAGAAATATAATAATCAAAACTAAAAGTATAATATTAAAGAAATTTTCAAACAAGCCCCATATTTTTACTAAAATTAGATTACAAGAAAGTGATGGGGACTTTCACACTTTCTGACAAAACAGGTTTAAAAAAAAGCCTTTGGCATCATTCAGGGTTTCACCCACAGGATATACATACATGAACATGTAAATAACATTTATAGACATCAACCACAGCCTAGATATTCAAAGTATACAGTCGAAGAGTTTACAATCCGATAATATACAATTCTTACATTGTACAACAAGGATGAAAGAGTGCACAATTCTTTCCCTTCAACCGCTCAAGCTACGAAATTCCTGAGTTCACTACTTACTCAGCATTGCTTCTAGCGTCGCATGGGAGGGGTTATATATATATAGAAACAAAAGTAAAACATGAGTAAAAGACCCATTAGGATGTATTTAAGAAAACTTTATAAACAAGTAATTAAATGAATAAGTAAATAAATAAA